GGCTCCTACTTCTAACAAAAGATTGTAAGCTTCTGAAGGCTTATCTCTGTTGGTTGAAGATTAATGTGTGTGTGTGTGTGTGTGTGTGTGTGTGAGAGAGAGAGAGAGAGAGAGAGAGAGAGAGAGAGAGAGAGAGAGAGAGGGAGAGGGATAGAGATAGAGAGATATTTATCTATATATCCATCAACAGACAAACAGACATTGGGATAGTTTTCACTTCGGTCTGTATGAGCATGGACATACAAGTACCTTCTCAGGAGGCTGCTTTCAGCTCTGTCAGCAGTGTGCTGAGAAGCAGGATTTCTGGCAACATAAACCTTTTTTTTTTTTTTTTTTTTGGTTTTTCGAGACAGGGTTTCTCTGACATAAACCTTTTGAGGAGTGGTCAAAGTGCTTTACCTTCCCATCAGTGATGCGCATGGGCTCTGTTTTCACAGAGACCTTGGTATTTTCTTGTTTTAGATTAAACTCAGGACCTCCCATGGTGAGCAATGCTGTAGCACCACATAGGCACCCTGTAAACATTTCCAAATCAGGAAAATACGAAGGACAATCTACTAGTATTTGCATAAGACTTACTTTTAGAACACCAGCCATAAACTGTTTTAATATAACACAAAACAAGCTTTTGAGTAGATAAAACTACACAAAGGTGACAAATAATTGTCACAAAGCCCGTAGTATAATTTAGAATTTAATAGTTTTAAAGAACTGCTTTAACATTAGCAGAAAATGTCTTTTTTCTCAAAAAAAAAAATGGCTTCAAGTTGTTACTTGAAAAAACCTGAAGCAGGGTGAGTGGAGATTTCTATCTTGCTTTCTCCTCAGGTTGTAAGAAATGTCTATGGTGACCACGTGGTTGTGTATGTGTGAGAGCAGGCACGTGTGTAGCATGTGAGCATGGACACATGTCACAAATACCATGCAGGCAGCAGCACCCGGAGGTGATGGCTTCAGAGCTCCGTGAGGGACTTAACTTTCACATTGATCATCCCTCCAGCTACAAAGGCCAGGGCCGTTTGTCACACTCGCAGGCAGTCAACAGAAGTGAAGAAGGACACCCGAGAAAACAAGCCCCTTAAACTTCAGCATTTGGAAGATCTGAGGCAGTTAAAAGGAACAGAAACATCTGAAGCCAAAGGAAAATTTAAGGATGAGAATACAGCCTCGTTCTCAGACACGGAAAGGGAGACGGGGTTAATACAGGGCCAATACAAGTATCTGGGCTTTCAATCTTTCCGTGTTCACATAAGAATGTGAAATGTTTTCTTAAACTGAGGCCAGACCGACAAAAGACTGGGATGAATTAAGGATTACTAAAAATTCTATGGCTTCAGTCTCTATTTAGTATCTCCTCCCTAACACGCTGGCTCTCTTGACCACTGAAGTTCTTCAGCACACTTCAACTTTCTCATTGTGTCGGGCGCTGGGATATTCCATCTTTGATTTGGGACTGGTCATGCGCTCCATGCTTGCAGTGCTCTAACTCTGGGCAATGTGGGCAGCTCTCCTGTTTCCGCGGCTGCCGTCACCTCTCCCATGTCCAAAATCCTGCACGCTGCCGCCCTCTATCTTTGTAAGGCACACTCTTGCTCAAATGCCAGAATCACCTATTCTCTACTTTCAGCTCTAGTTCTTTTTAATTTTATGTGGATTGGTGTAATAGTGTCAGATCCCTTGGAAATGGAGTTACAGACAGTTGTGAGCTGCCATGTGGGTGCTGGGAATTGAACCTGAGCCCTCTGGAAGAGCAGAGGACCACTGAGACATCTCTCCAGCCCCTCAGCTCTATTCTCATCTACTCCTTAAATTACATAAAAACAAATTTTGGGGTTCCCCTCATCTACACTTCTGTGTCTCCCTCATAAATTGCAAATTTAAAATCATATTAATATAAAAGAAAGCACAAGTAAACATATTAAGATAAAATTACCCATACCACAGAAAAATGGAAACAGATCTTAGGAAGGCATTTTTCCGAGTGATTTTTACTGCAAACTGCAGAAAATATCAAATACATAAAACTACTAATTACATTATAACTACTTGAAATAGCAAGGCTGTGTCCTTGCCCTGTGCAGTTAAATAAACCCACCTATACATGGGTGGTGACTAAGGACAGTAATAAATACTGTATCATCCCCTTCACCATGCTGCATGTCAGAATCTGCTGTTCATTTGTGGTGAGGGTATCATCATATAAAATGTCATTATGAAAGCAGTCAGAGTCACGGGGCTGATGAATCTCAATATTCAGGATTCTACCAAACAATACAGAACAACACAGAAGGAGGGCAGGCAAGGTATGTCCTTCATCTTTATATTTTAAATGTTTTAATGCTGCTATGTCAGAATCAAGTCAGGTAATTTTGTAGGAAATATGTTCACTTTCTCCAGAGCCCAAAGGTTGTGTAAATGCATGCACAGGAAAAGAAAAAGCAAACATATTTACAGTTTTGCCCATACAACTCTGTGAGCATCTCAGACTCTGAAAACCTGGTGGGCAAAGGAAACATTTCTGAAAACGCCGTACAATGATAATTGCCAGGATAGAGAGAGAAGAAAAGAGATGTTTTCTATTTTATAGATTTTTCTCTTGGGCATAATTATAAAGTGACATCCAAGTGCAACCATTGAAATGCCTATTTTTCTTCCCACAAAATCCAAAGACATCAGCAAAACCACCTATGTCAGTAATAAAAATAAGAAAGTCTTTGACTTTTTAAATGTTATCATACTGTCACAACAGAATAAAATTAGCTTGAGAAACGGTCTAAAGACAGATGATGCAGTTCATTATGTACAGCAGCAACAGCAGTGCTTCTCGGTGTTCATAAAGACTGCTCCATTAAATTTACCTCCAGTCAATAATTAGGAGTCCACAAATAAACCTGTGCAATTAAATCAATACTACCAGGCAATTATATTCCAGAGTCCAGGCTCAGTGGCACAAAAAGGCACTATATCAAACTGCAGTATTAAGTAGCCTGATGCCATTTCAACAGGGAATTTTTAATACTAACTGGACAGAATAAGCATATATCCAGATAATGCAGAATATGTATGTGCACTTTTACATGTGTAAGACACACTCATACACAGGATACACAAATGCACATACACACACACACACAAACAACTACTACTTCTAAACTAGGTCTGGAATCAGTATAGCTTTAGCAAGATTAAACATATTGATTCATTATTTTATGGACATAATTGATGATAAAATTCTAATTAAGGGAACTACAAGGTCCTAGTTACAAGATGAACACTTAGAAAATCATTACAAGATTATTTCTGCCATTTTTAAGCTTAAAAAATACTTTATACCAACTGTCATTGAACTGCTTCATGTGCCAGGCACTGGGCTGAGCCTGTGCAAACAGCATGATTAAGAAAAGAGCAGAAATGAGCTCCCTAGACTGAAGAGATGTCCCGTCAGTTAAGCGCATGCACTGCTCCTGCAGAAGGCCTAAATTTGTTTCCCAGCACACAATCTGGCGGCTTACAACTTCCTGTAAATTCAGCTCCAGAGGTATCTGATATCCCTGGTCTCCTCAGTGCACTCATGTGCACCCCACACACACACATACACATGATTCAAAATAAAGGTCCTTCTTTAGTAAAAAAAGTGACCCCTCTTCTCAAAAATCAAATTGTCATTGTAAAAGACCTTGTCACACACCTGTGCATCTGTACTTCAACAACTTGAACCAAAACATCACCAATCATATTTCATTACTGAAGCAATTGCAGATAATGTTTCAGAACTATATAAAGTTAACACTAACAATATCAGTGCCCTGAGTGTTATTTCTCTATTGTCCTTTGTTTCTTGTCTTGGTGCTGGGGGTTGCACTTGAGTGGGTATAATGCTAATCATGGAGACAGAACCACTGGGGGTTACATCTCCAACCCTTTCATTGCTTTATTCTTGACTTCACTAAAAACACGGTAAATGCTACCTGGCAACACTCATCTAAAATAAGAATACTTTTATCAACTTCTGTTTTTAATCTTCGCAGAAACAGGCACAGTGTCTTTCAAACATCACTGATGGATAGGGTTTCCTCTTGCCATCTTGACAATTATGTTTAAGCTTTTATTTATTTCATCTTGGTTTTCAAATAAACAATTAGGGTGGGGGGAAAAGGGCTACAATGAAAAAGTTTTAGAATGCATTACAAGCTGTCAGTGATGTCAAAACAAAAGCTGGCTATGACTAGAAAAGCAGGGCTCTCACCTGCCAATAACCTGCCCTTGATCACTTACAAGAGGGGCACATCCCAGCAGACTATGTGTGTATTAAAAAAATACTTGAAAGGGGAGAAAAAGTATATCACACTGGTCACAGCAGCAGCCTCAATAGACCCCTCAGGGACTCCAGCTCGTCTTGGCCTTGTCATCCTCTATGCAGCTTTCCACTCGGCCCGGAAAATGTCGATAGGAAAATGTTTGAGGGGCCTCTGGTGGAAATTTTTTCATTCTTTCTGCATTGACAGGATGCCAAATCAATATTTACTTCCCACTAACAAGCTGCTCGAGGTCTCAGTAGAAAATATTGTAGAGAGTGCGGGAAGACACAGTAATAAACAGCTGTCTGGCTGTGAGGAAAACATGAATTGACTGGAAACAGGTCCACAGTAAAAGGTCACCGAAACCCATGAACTCCTCAGGTGTCCGTATCAACTTCCAACTTTAAAGACACTAATAAAGAATCTCTGTTCCTAAGAGGGCTGGGAGAATGGATCCTTTTCACTCTAGCAAGCAGAGAGGTTGACTCAATAATTTAATTAATGCACTTGCTGAGGCCCATGTTGGCTCTTCCTCAAGGCACTTGCTTCATTTGTTAAGTCCAAAAGTACAAATAGGGGTTAACTTTCTTGTCTACCTCCGGATCCCTTCTTTACCTAACACAAGTAAATAAGGGTGTCTGCAAAGTGAGGCCAGGGATGTTTATTCAGAAGCTTTAATAGATGAAGCAAAAAGTGAAATACCTGTCCTTCCAGAAGTTTCTGAATGTACAACAGCCATTCCTTGTCATTTTCAGCATCTCTCTTCGTCTTTTCAATTTCCTAAGGAAGATAAACACAGACACATTAACTGATATGAACTTACTCATTCTGCTAGAGTCTAGGGGCTCACTATGACCACATCTATAGGAATATCAACCAAGAGTGCCTGACTCCTCCAAGGTGGAATGTTTAAATCTATACTATTTATTTTTTGTATTTAATTTAAAAATATTTATATACAAGTGGAAGATGTAGCTCTGTTTATTTCATAGTAAATTAGAAACATTTTTTTCAGCTTTCACACTGTGGCTCAAAATAGGGATGGATGGTAGTGGAAAGGACATAACACAGTAAAAAGACAATGGAGAGAGGGCTCAGTGGCTAACAGCTGCTATTGCAGAGGCCCTGAGTTTCGTTCCCAGCATCCATGTCAGGGGACTTACAGCAGCCTGCAACTCCAACGCTAAGGACCCAATTCTATCTTCTCCCCACCTCGTTCCAGAGCCCCCCTCTCACACACACAGACACACACAGCCCCATCACACGTGAAAAACTAGAAGCATTTGAGAAACTAACACTCACTGAAATTTACTACGTGTCAATCGTCACACTAGGCTCTTCACACAGCCTCTCATACTTTTAACATGAATTATTACAATTGGATGCTGTTTAAAGAACATAATTCAGGCAAGACACTGTACCCCTTAATCTCTAAAAGATGTATAGTTCATTCTAAACACACTCTGGTCTGTAATTAAGCACAGAGAATACATAGACACATTTAGAGCAGTGTATTGTACTCAAGTTCCCTTTATTCCCAGAAGGGTTTGCAGACTGTGCGGCATCTGAGGCCACTGGCAGAGTTTTCATGTATCAGACTGCATCAGCTCAGAAGCAGGAACCCGGCTTCACCACAGACGTGTTCTCCAGTGTTTGCAACCGTGAGGAACCTTTTCTAAGTCACACACGTAAAAAGAGACAACATCCCAAAAAGCCAGTACAAGCAGTAGGGATAAATAACCTCTTCTCTTTGGACGAATACGTTGCTCAGCCTGGATATAGAAGGGAGGGCCTTGGACCTTCCCCAAAGCAATGTGCCTTACCCTCTCTGAGGATTGGATGGGGGTGGAGTGGGAGGGTGTGTGGAGGGAATGCAAGGAGGGGAAGGAGTGAGAACTTGGATTGGTATTTTGAAAAAAATATAATAATAAAAAGAGAGACAGCATCATCTAATTTCCTCATTCAAATAGAGTGAGATTTTTCTAATTTACAGCCATGAGAGAGCATTCTCTTAATAGAAACAACAGTATTCTGTGTTCCCAAGCATGTGACTTGCACCCTCGTGTGTGTGTGTGTGTGTGTGTGTGTGTGTGTGTGTGTGAGAGAGAGAGAGAGAGAGAGAGAGAGAGAGAGAGAGAGAGAGAGGGAGAGAGAAAGAAAACACATGGCCACAAGCGCATATACTTTCACATGGGTTCACCATCAATCCAAACTCTAATTAGGAGTCTGCACCTAGCATAGCCAAGGCCCTTGGCTAGGCACTGCTGTCTCCCGTGTACCTTGTTTGATCCTACATGTGATAATATTCTTTTACTTCCATGTCCAGAGTTAGGCAAAATGTCACAGATGCTGGCTCAAATGCGAGACCGGGAAGTGGGGAAAGTGTGGCTCACCATCCCATTCACCCAAAGGATGGAAGTAATCTCTACAGAATTCCTTTGGATCTTTTCCAAAGATTCTTGGCAGTTAAGTATCTTTGCACTATAGATCTTCTGTGCAATAAAAATCTCTAAGATGCTCAAGTGGGCAGGCATCTCATAAAGGATGGTCTCATACAAATATTTAAACCTATTGCTTTAGTTCATCGTTGAGCAAGTATTTACTGGGATAATCTTGGTATCATCCTGTCTTAAATTTTCAGTCATTAAATAACTGAAGACTTCTAACCTCAGGAACAAGCATCCTTCATAGAGCTAAAGAATACTATAGATAAGAGCATCATTCCTCCAGGGCCCACTGCTCAACAGGAGTAGATTTTAAAACACACATTTTAAAACAATAAATATTTTCAAGAAACAGGATTATCAAAATAATTATAGATTCAACCAAGAAAGCCAATAAGTTTGTTGCCTAAAAAAAAAATCCCACATAAGAGATTTTTTATCAAATTAATGGTGGCTTGCCTAAAGTAAGTCAGTCAAAGTGGTGACTTAGGAATAGTGATGTCTGGGGAGGGGAGGGGGACTCAGCAGTTAAGAGCGTCTGACTCTCCTGCAGAGGATGCGGGTTGGTTACCAGCACCAATGTGGTGGTACATCATTATCCATAACTCCAGCTCCAACGGTCCTGATGCCTGCTTCTATCACAAGGTATGCATGTGGTACAAATACATACATCAAGGCAAAGCACTCACATGCACAAAATAAAATAGATAATTACTGCTTGATATGGTGGTACAGACCCGTAGTCTGAAAGGGTCAAGAGGCTAAAGCAGGAGGATCACTTGAGTCTAGAAGTTTGAGACCAGCCTGACCAACATAGTAAGGACTTTGCTTCAAAACACACACACACACACACACACACACACACACACACACACACACTGACAAAAACCCTGGCTACAAGATCTATAACATGATTAGTTAAAGAGAATAGAGGAGACAGGAAGAAACAAGAAGACTGACATGTATAACAAGCAACATGAATCTTCCGAATTCCTTCTTATGCCTGTTTTCCTCCCCTGTTACATATTGGACTCATTTCTATATTATATATTGAATTTCTATAAAGGCATTGAGTTGGTTATACGATAAATACATTTCTTCGACAACTTGACAATAATCCCATAAAATGAAATTCAAATTATAAAACAAACAATAGATTTAGATAAAAGTGCAGAAAGCTTTATATTAATGAATATGTAAGTTATCTTACCACTTCATCTTCTGTGTCCAGTATTTCCTCGAGGTCTGATCGTGAAATGTTCAGTATGGATGCTGCCAAGGTCTGTGCTTTATGGGTTGAGGTTTTACAAGCATGTCTGTTTCTCTGCATCTTCTTAAGCTCTCTGATTTGATGTCTGGTCCTATGGACATCACTTTGTAACTCTTTGACCAAAGCCTTAAACATATTGGAAAGAACATGGGTTCATATGAAAGTCATAATGAAGACAAAGTGGCCAAACCATAAAAATGTGACCATACTAGCAAATCATTTTTATTAAGGTTACCATGAATTTATTTATTTTGGAAGAGAATTGACTGCTATCTACTCATTTCCATTATGTAATAAAAACCTCTCTTAAATCACCTCTTAACTACCTTTCTTTATTAAGAACTGCTCTCTAAACTCACTGTTAGATATGCTTACTGGTGTCTGGTTGGTCAAGCTTGCCACCTGTTATCACGATAGAGCACACTTGAGTTAATGAGATAGTTCTACTGATCTGTAAACATACTATTTGCATAATAAATATAATAGGTCATTGCGTGGTGGGTTTAATTGTTATACAGCTGATGAAAGATGGCCACTGAAAAAGTCACTTCTGTAATAGTTTACAAAAACTAGACATTCTTTGGAAAAACTTGAGAACAAGTAGAGTAACAGTACAATTAAATCATGCAGTGTAAACAGGGGAGAGATGAAAACATAGAAGGATACTAGAACAATGCTACAAACATCTTCAAGTTCTTCCTTTGAGAAATCAACAAGTGCTAGCTTATGTCACTCCAAGGGCAAATGGGGGGAGCACATTTTACTTTGTATGATCAGAGTTCTGTGTTCTGTGTGGTGATACAAGTATAGCTTTGGGAGCCCAATGCAGGTGGTAGGTATATTTATGGTTGGCCCCTAAATACATTGTCATGTATATCACTAAGTAAAGATGAATATTTTTAGCTCTTCTGAGATCAAATTGCAGCACAGTTAAATACATATATCTTAATGGTATAGTTTTATGAATTTTTACTAAATGTAAACTTTGGCTAAGCTATACCCAGGTCAAAGTAGATAGCATTTTCCTTCTGTTATGGCTTGGATCCCTCATAAGCTAAGTAAAAGTGAACACTTGGTTCCTAGCTAGTGTGTTTAGGATGTTACAGAGCCTTTCGGAGGTAGAGCCTAGCTGGTGGAACTCGTCCACTGGGGGCGGGATTGGAGGTTACAACCTGTCTCTAATCCTCTTGTCACTCTCTCTTCCTTGGCCCCTGGAGATGTAAGATGCCTCTGACCCGTCGTCACAGCTGTCAAGAGCTGTCACAGCTAAGCCTTACCACCAGGATACAGTTGAACCTAGACCGAGAGTCCAAACAAAACCTCTCTGAAGTTGCTTCTTGTCAAGCATATGCCATTACTTAAACAACTTCATTCATGTCCTTTCTTGGTTGCGGTGCTTTGAATGTAATTGGCCCCCATAACCTCAGAGGAAGTGACACTATGAGAAAGTATGGCTTTGTTGGAGTGGGTATCGTCTTGTTGGGGGAAGAGTGCTATTGTGGGGGTTGGCTTTGAGATTTCCTATGGTCAGAATACTGCCCAGTGAGTCAGTCTACTTCCTGTTGCTGCAAGATGTAGGACCCTCAGCTATTCCTCCAGCACCTCCTCTGCCTGCACACTACCACACTCCTCAGCATGATGATAATGGACTGAACCTCTGAAATTGTAAGCAAGTTGCCCCAATTAAATGTTTCCTTTCTAAGAGTTGCTCTGGTCATGGTGTCTCTTCACAGCAACAAAATCCCTAAGACACTGGTTAATTTCTAGTCGGTCAGTTTTCCTAGTATCATTTATTGAAGAAAGTACTTTCACTGTCACATGCTTTCCTTGTCTGTCACTTACTAGTTAATAATATAGACATAGATTTCTTACTGATCACTCTACTCTGTTCAGTGGTTTATGCTTTTTCTTTTATGTCAGTATCATGAAGGTTTGATTACTGTAACTTTGTTATATAGTTTCAAACCAGAAAGTATAATATCTCTAGCTTAGCTCTTCATGCTCAACATTGCTTTGTTAAGTTAACATCTTTTGTGGTTTCATCCAAGTTTTTCCTATTGTTGTTCAAATATAATAGGACTATTAATAACAATTGTAGTGAATGATTATACATAAGTGCATAGACATACATGCATACACACACACACATATTAGACAATAAGACATTTTAACAGTATTTGTCCTTCCAATCCATGAACATTGCCTATTTTCCATTTATATTTTTCAATTTATTTCATCAATAACATTTTTCAGTTAAAAGATTCCATTTTCTTTCTCGGTAAGCTTTATTCCTGGTTTTTCCTTTATTGTTTTGCTGTAACTGTAAATGACTATTTTCTCATTTCTGTGTTAGAGGGTTTGTTGTTAGTGTAGAGAGACAGAACTAAATTTTATATATTGGCTTTTGGAACTATCAGACACTATTGAACTCATCTTTTTTGAGGAATAGACCTATGTTTTTTTATGTCTAAAACTGTGCAATCCGCAAACAGAGATATTTTTACTTTTCCCTTGTGATTTCTATAGCTTTATTTAAGCCTTTGCCTTGGTCTTGATTTAACCGAAAAAAGCATTTCTGTAACTTATAGGTTTTATTATATAGAAATCTCCTCACTCTAATGTATTGAGTTTTTTAAAATAAAAAGATATGAAATTTTATGAAATTCTTTTTCTGTATCTATTGATAAACAATATGACTTTTCTTTTATTCTGCTAATTTAGCATCTCATATGACCCATTTCAACTGGTTTTATGATGTTTTTAATGTGGCTTGCCAGTACTTTGTTAGAAATTCTTGCATCTATGTTTGAGAGATACTGGAATTTAATTTTCCCCTCACCATGTCCTCATCTAACTTTGCTTTCAGTGTAATACTGACCTTGTAAATGAAGTTTGGAAGTGTTGTCCTTTTTAATTTTTTGGAAGAGTTCAAGAACTGGCATTAACTCTTCTTTAAATGTTGGCCAGACAGTGGGGAAGCCATATGGCACTGGGATTGCCAGGAGGGTTCTGATTACTGACTCAATTGCCTTACTTGTTCATTTGGATATTGTAATCCTTCATGGTTCGATCTTGGTGGGTAGTTGATTTTCAGGAATTCTCATTTATTAAAGCTTATCTAACTTCTTAGCATATAATTGTTCAGAGTATTCTCTTATGATCCAGATCACTTCTTGGTTATTAGTCATAATTTTCTACTTGGAATAATAAATCTTTCTCTTTTGTTTTTCTTAATTAGTCTAGATAGACATTCACCAATTTTATATTTAAAAAATTAGCTTAGTTTCACTGATCTTTGCTTTGTTTTCTATTCTTTTTACCTGAATTGTTTCTTTCCTAGTGCGTACTAGTCTCTTCCTCCTATTAACTTCGGGCCCAATTATTCTTTCCCTTGCTCTTCAATGTTTAAAGTTAGACTGTACACTTGAGAACCCTTTTGTTAAATTATTTACAGCTGTAATCTCTCCTCTCAAAATCACAGTTTTTGCATTTCATACATGTAATAGGTTGTGTTTCCATCCTCACTTGTCTCATTTTTTTTATTTCTCTCTTCTTTATAATTAGTCCTATTAGCTTTTGGGGCCAAAATCTTACCTTCCACATATTCATGAATTTTCCTTTCATGGATGGTTTGCATTTTTACACAAATAAGAGTTAGAAAAGATGCTTCCTATGACTTTAACCTTTTGAACTTTTAAGAGTTGTTTTTTGTGGCTTCACATTTGCCTGTCCTGTGGAAGGTTCTGCATATGTCTGTGAGAACCACATGGTGCTGATGTTGCTCAGTTCTGCTGCTTATGCATTCACTGTTCAGAGGGGCTACCGCTGAGAGGGTCACCATTCTTCTTTTGGTTTCTTTCCTCTTCTGCTCTTAGTATCTCCATTATATACTTAGATGCACCAACGTTTGGTGAACAAATATTTATAACTGTTTTTGACTTTTCCATTTTGAGTGTTTATTAACTCTATCAAGTTATAAACTCAGCCACTTACATTCTCATATTTGTATGGAATATCTTTTACTATCTCTTCATTTTCAGTTAGGTGTGCCTTGATAGCTAAATTGAGTCTTGTATGATCACTAGATCATACTTTCAAAACGAAAGAAAAAAGAAAAATCTGTTCAGCCACCAGACACCTTCTGATCAGAGTTTAGTCTATTTACATTTAAAATAAATATTATCGGGTAACATATTTACTATTTTCATTTTGTTAATTGTTTTATGACTCTTTGTTCTACTATCCATTATTCTTTCTTCCATTCTTGATGTTTTCCCTTGACTTTTCTGTTGTTGCATATGCTTTGAGATATTTCTTCATCTTCTGTATTTCCACTTTAAAATTCCTTTGTCAATACTTTGTGGCTTTCATGAAATACTTTGTAATTGTAGCTTCCTATTCAGCTGTTAACAGCATGGCAATAAGGATCACATAGAGATGACACTGCTCATTGGATATTACGATTTACAAATATGTTTCAATTATATATCTAAGAGAAAAATTTTATCATTTAGTTTCTAAGTGCTTTATTTTATGCCATAATGCAAAGTCATTTTTGCAACCCTATTGGTAAAGCTTGAGAATCCTGACTTGAGTTTGTTTCAACTTTATTACTTAGAGTTCTTTATCTCCACTTAAGGAACTCTGGGCAGCATTCCTAGGGAGGCACAGACTCTCCATGTCAGCTCACTGGGGCAGCCTTTGTTGACTACAGTATTCTTGGCTGGCAGTTTTTACTTTCACTATTTGAAAACATCCCATATTCTTCTGATCATCAAGGCTTCTGTGAGCAGATTTTGGCAGTCTTATGGGTGTGTTCTTTCTTACAGGGGATTCTTATATATGATGTTTAACAGTTTCTTCCTCTTCCAACATTTTCTTTGTGTATGCCTTTGACAATTTAATTATACACTCCCTCATTTATACCTTTTGTGCTCAGTCTTTTGGAAATATCTTTGCATCTATGAATCTGCACACCTCTCTTTCTCCAAATTCAGGAAGGTTCTGCTATTATTTCTTTAAATAGTTTTTATGTTCCTTTTTATCTGTTCTAAAATTCCCATCATACATATATTTAATTTGATTGTGTCTCATAAATCTTATGATTTTCTTCACCTTTTCATTGA